AAAATCCGAGTATAATACACACCGCAGTTTTGACGGTTATTTTTATAGAAATAAAGTGCGTATTATACACAGGTAAATAAAGTACGAGCGAATCGGGTGGCTTGGCGAAATCAATACATCTTTTAAACAAGTAATTGAGCAAAAATTTCAACAGACCCGCAACCTCATTAAAGCTCGGTTATTCGCGCTCCAGACGGTGATTAATGAGGAAATAACTATAAAGTCTGTGAACATTCATTGCTAAAACGGCTTCAGAATTGGCTCAATAAGGAAAGCAGAAGTAAACTTGGGACAACATCGATCCAGGAAGTCCTCGAACACGGAAGTCTTTTCGCCTCTCGCCTCCTTCGATTTTCTTTACTAAAAGAAAAATTCCAAGCATATTTCCTCTATCTTATAAAGTCACACAGTTTATTTAAATTGAAAGGCTTCAATAGACTCCTGGTCGTTTGTAAAACAACTCTCCAACTCGTGTTTCAAGTTTTTATTTATTCTTACCAGATCTCGCCCAAGCACCCCTAAACCATCAGAACCTCTGTCTAACTAACAAATAGATTCCAAGTTGCCGTGCGTCTGTTCAGTAATAGATCACAGATGACGTTAACATGTGGTAAGAACAAAAAAGTGGCATACGAGGCGCAGCCGAGTGTGTCACTGATGTTCTTACCACATTTTGACGTCCTCTGTGATCTACTACTGAACAGACGCACGGCAACTTGGATTCTATTTGTGTTATATAATAAAGAATTAAAATATACGGAAAAAAAGTTTTAATAATGACGTTATCTATACGTCTGTCCTTCAATAGATCATAAGTGAGAACCAATCAGAATGCGTGCATAACTGAGCTTATTTTATAAAACACTATTGTTGTTCAGAGCCAATTGCTTCTCGTGTCAGTTCCCTACACTTTCGAAATGAATTTGTTCCCTCGTCATCGTTTACTTTCAGAGATGATGTTTTCGCTGAGCTTAGTACACTCATCTTTGGCCATGAGAGACATTTCTAGAATGATTTTTCATTTGAAATTTGTCTTAGCATGGATTTACTTTTACCTCAGCTCTCAGGTTACTGGGATTTTGTTTTGTTTTGTGTTTACTTTCGTCTTTCGAGTCTGAACTAGGTTTATCATCCTGATATACTTTATCTAAATGACTTTTATATTGACAGTAGCTGTTAGTTGTACCTTAAAGATTGTATGATTTTTTTTTTAATTTAAAATCAAAGGAAATCTTTTACCGTTTTGATGAAATCGAAAGCATGAACTGATGTAATGTAACAGTGTTCTAAAATATTCTGTTTCAGATGGCGGAAGTGTCACATGGTTTGAACCTCCTCTGCTTAGGACAACATCAGATCCAAACGAAGTGCTCCCCGCTATCAATTTAAATTTTTATGAAAGACCTCCCGCTACACTGAAATGGAGCTACATTAATTTTACGGCAGTTTCAATACTTCTGGTAGTCTTAAGAACAAGTCTCTGTAAGAATCAAACATCTTGGGAAATGAAAATTTTCAACCCCCTTCAAATTTTGCATGCAGTTAGGCACTCAGGGGGGATGCACAAAAATGCCCTTTTTAAAGGTCGTAGCACTCTTATTTCCATGGTAACAACGGCCGCTTGTTCGAGGCCTTGGGGCCTCATTTTCATACAAAAACGTCGCAAAAAAAGAGTGAAATGTTCATTTCTCTATCTCAAGCTAAATACAACATTACAAATTGGCGCTTCTACCATACATGGTAACATCATTCGTCTTCACATTGATTTATTGAATTTTTCCTGGAAGTGAATGTGAACACACCAATACATTATTTATCTCGGTACAGTTTGGTCATTTTTGTTGTCGGGTAAAACAGGGAAAACGTTTAGTTGAATTTCTCCAAACGTACACCGATTCTGGAACTGAAACTACCCACCTAGCTGGTTATAATATTCTAGTTTTTGAATACGGAAAAATCTCTGCGGGTCTGCCTCTACTTTTTATAGGGGCAGTTACTTCAGAAACGGAAATCTGCTGACTTATATGAAAAATATCCATTTCTCGTCTTCTATGGAGCGACAGATGGAAACTTCACGGAAAAATACAGCGTCACGCTGTAGTGATAACGTATATGTTTATGACAAATGACCGGTGTGAGGATAGTTTCGTGTAGATCAGTCGACTTCAACATGTTTCAAATGACATACAAGTATAACAGTGTATCTTCAGAGGGTTTCGGATAGCTCAAATTCCCATGAAAGAAGGTGCAGCACTCGGAATCTGGATGATATGCACACGATTTGAGGTATATGTTTGTAGTTACGTCGAGTTGTCCATTGACAACCAGAGGCGAGATTTCTCTTTGGGATATTGCTCATAAGATAACATTCTTTCAAAGCCTCGCACGTGTCATTTATCTGAAACATTTGTTGTTGAGAACATTAGATGTAAACATCGCCAAATTATGCAATATCTGATTTTCTTTTTTTTTTTCGCGAACTGCCCCTGTAAAAGTAGAGGCAGGCCCGCAGAGTTTTTTACATATTTAAAAACTAGAATATTATAACCAGCTAGGTGGGCAGTTTCAGTTCCTGAATCGGTGTACTTTTGGAGAAATTCAGATAAATATTTTCCCTGTTTTACCCGACAACAAAATGACCTAAACTGTACTGAGATAAATAATGTATTGGTGTGTTCACATTCACTCCCAAAGAATATTAAATGTATCAAAGTGAAGACGAATAATGTCACTATCTATGATAGAAGTGCCAATTTGTAATGTGGTATTTAGCTTGAGATAGAGAAATAAGCATTTCACTCTCTTTTTGCGACTTTTTTGTATGAAAATGAGGCCCCAGGCCTCGAACATGCCAGCCGTTGTTGCCATGGCAACAAGGGTGCTGCAACCTTTAAAAAGGGCATTTTTGTGCATCCCCTGAGTGTCTAACTGCATGCCAAATTTGAAGGAGGGTTGAAAATTTTCATTTCCCAAGATGTTTGATTCCTACAGAGACTTGTTCTTAAAATTCAATGGTGCTGGTATAGTCAACTATCAAAATGGACAGCAGGAAATTGAGTGTTAACAACTGGGTTGAAAACGTAAATTAGCCACCGTAAAGGGTAAAAAAGCTGACGTCTCGAGCGTTAGCCCTTCGTCAGAGCGATTAGATGAATTGTGTGTTGTGTATGGATTTATATGTAGAAAGTGGAGCAACGCCATTGGTGGGAATATGGTGACGAGAAAACAGGAATAAATTAGTTGAATGAAAAGCGCTCGTTGATTCCGTGGGGATTAAGGGTGCCGCCGGGGGGAGTTTGGAATATAAATTTTTGTTCTAGTGTTTTACGGCTTTCCGAACTGCCTAGATGTAAGGAAAAGCCGCAAACTGCCATATGCTGTTTAGAATGATAAGGAAGATTAAAGTGTCTAGCGACTGGTTTGGATGCGTCCTTGTCATTTCTTTCCACATCGCGAAGGTGTTCTCGGAATCGGTCACCCAGTCGTCTTCCTGTTTCGCCGATGTATAACTTATTGCAATAAGTGCAAGTTCTGCAGTAAATAACATTGGCGGAGGTACACGTAAAGTGATCAATGATCTTAATGGATCTTTTGGGTCCCGATATTTTCTCTACGTTATGAATGAAAGGACAAGTTTTGCATCGTGAGCGAGCGCATTTAAAAGTTCCAGATTGGTCATTGGTTTGAAATGAACTCCTGACTAAAAAGTTGCCTATGTTTTTGTCACGTTTGAATGAAATAAGTGGGGGTTGCGAAAAGATAGCGCCAGTCTCTGAATCGTTTTGGAGTAATTTAAAATTTTTAAGAATGATAGATTTAACTGCGTGGTTGTGAGGGTGAAATGTAAGAGTAAATGGAATGCGGTCAGTGTTCTCCTTCTCGGCCGTTTGTAGTGCTGCCTGTCGATCGATTTGTTTGGCACGGTGGTAGCCCGCTTGAACGACAGAAACAGGATAGCCGCGTTTATCGAAAAACTGGCACATTGCCTCTGATTTTTCGGAAAAATCAGAGTCGTCACTACATAAACGACGAAGTCTGAGAAACTATGAAAAAGGTATGGAGTTCTTCACGTGTGATGGATGTGAGGATGAATACAACAAGTAACTATGTGAATCTGTAGGTTTGTAGTAAACACTAGTACATAAGCCATTGCCTTCAATTGAAATTTTGGTGTCTAGAAAAGCCAAAGAAGTGTCGGAAATTTCCCAGGTATATTTAAGAGCCGGATGAAAGGAATTGACGGCGGTTATAAATTGAGTGAGCTCCTCTTTGGTAGAGGAGGTAGCGCCGATGCAATCGTCGATGTAGCGGCCGTAGAGTTGAGGTTTTGGGCCGTGGTATTGGCTAAAAAATTGATGTTCGATTAAACCTACAAAAAGATTAGCGTAGCTGGGTCCCATTTTAGTACCCATGGCCACGCCATTAGATTGTTTGTAGTAGTTACCACCTGTAGCGTTGCAGTTGTGTCTTCCGTTGTAGTTATGTCCTCACACCTAATAACCAATAGAATGCGGTTTTACTTCTTCCAATCAAAGTGCGTTGTGAACGTGTCTTCTGCGTGTCACTTCCCAACTAGGGGAGGGATGCAATGCAAAATTGTGAGACTATCGTTAAGTTTTCCGCGCTCGAAGTTTGGGAATTTCATGGGCTATTCTTGTTTCATGGGCTTATCCTTGATGCCTTTTGGGACACTTCGGATTGTTGAAAGATTAATATTCTTGTTGCGTTTTTAAGCGCGAAGTATCAGTGAAATTTTCTTCGATACGTTGGAAAGGTTAGGAAGACGAGAATTTGACATTGCCTCGTAGCTTCCCTTATTGGTTTGGAGTGCGCTGGTGATCGAAGTTGTGCTTTTTTGTCGGAACTACTAAAGGAAGGTAAGGTTTCGGTTGCATTTTATGCTAGTATTTTGTTAAATTCAAATATTACAACCATTCTTCAAAGATCACGTTCAAGTTTTGGGCTTAATACTGTAGATTTCATGTGACAGCATGGCGAAGCGTGCGAGTGACTACTAACTTTGATTCATTGAATCCTTCAGTGTCGAGGGCTGATTTTTTTAGTTTGCGTGCGACATGTAAAACTAGATGTTACATAATTGAAAAACAGGGCAGATCTCGGTGTTTCAATGCCCAAAAATGTGTGATTTTCTCCATCTCATTGTGCCTACAATGATGGCTATTATGGATACAGTGGAAGACATGTATTCATTGTAAATGTATGGGACTACGCAAAAATTCAACCTCTGGTATGGTTGATGTCAAATATCACATATCCTGGGAGGTTAACTCACCAACTGCTAACTCGTATGATGAAGATCTGGTCTCTTTCATAAAGGATAGGGTGCTGTCTCCCAATGCTCTCCAACAAGTAACAGTTGGGTTACAATATATTAAATCATTCTCTTTGCTCACCCAGAAGTGACAGAATTGCAGCAAAATTACTCTTCACTTAATAATTAGTGCTTTGCTATTTAAATCAGTGGCTGACATATGCCACTTTCTTTATTTTGATCAATTTAGAGTAAAGTCCCCTGTACCAAATTATAAGGAATATGATAATAATATGTATGTTATATGTTACCACATTATCCATACTTTTTCAGCTATGTGTCACAAACATTAAAATGAAATAAACACTAATTCATGCAGAAATGAATACTTAATTCAATACAGACTATTGCCTACTATTAGCAATTATTGCTCCTACATGTGTTAGCAAGAACTTGGTCTTGTTGGCATTCATTGTGAGCATTTGGCAATCTGTATATTAGTGGAGAAACTCTCTGCAACTATCTTTGCTAAGAAAATACCAATCCTTTCACCCTTACTAAATATCATTCATACAGGCATGGATGAGAACCAGCAGCAAAGCAAAGAAAACAAAAGTGCTGATGAGGTGGTAAGCTCTATTCTAAACATTTTCTTGGCGAATTATGCACTAGTTATAAAAAGGTATATGTTGTGCTTAATTTTTGTCCTTGGTATAAACATCATTTTCCTTTGGTTTTGTTAATGATATGAATGAAAAATGCATTTTGTGTAAAGAAAGATAAAATTTAGCTCCTAGCCTAAGTTATGATGAGATGATGTGTCACTATCAATTTGGCCTCTATTAAAAGTAAAAGAATTAAACTAAGGATAAAACTAAACCACAGCATACCTATACTAAACCCTCAGCCTATTTGTATCAATATTACTATTTTTTCTGGTGTTCACCCAATAGATTCAATCCACTCACAGACAAATATGGCACCTGTGCATTTTACTATTACTCTTAGGCTAAGGCACTCGTAGAAAGCAATATTTCACAAAACAACAACATTATGTATGCAAGGTTTAAATTTTTCAGACCTTTACTGCTTGTTTTTATGATTGGTTCCAGTATTTTCTTGCACAAAGAGTTCTGGTTGAATGTACCAGTCACCATGTTTTTTGGTATGGTGGTTTACAGTAATTGTTGTATGAAGTAACCTTCACCAATATTAATTTTGTGAACTTGTCACTGACAAAGAGCTAGTTCATGATTAGACATTGATCGTTTCATTAATTGCCATGCTCTACATTTATCATTGAAGTACTGATTAACTCCTTTGCCATCAGTAATTGCATTAAAGATACTGTGTTAGAAATCACAGCACTGTACCCCAAAATCTAATGTCGTCCTCAGCACAATCTCATTTTTTGAGCAAGGCAAAAGTAAAAATCAAACAAGACCACACAGACATCATCACAGAGACAACATTGCTATGTATAATGTTTATATAGTTAGTTACATAAAAGGTACTCTATTCATTAATTCAGTGTCAATACTCACCCTCGTAGCAGCTATAATTTTTAGCCAACTTGGGAAATAGTGGCCTAAAATGGACCCTTTTGGACATCTGAACTTTTAAATTTCCAGGGGAAGGTTCCCCAGACTTTGCCATCCAAGTGGGAATAAATGGCTGTCACACTGTCATTTTGGTCCCTCCCAGCTGCTCAAACGTTGTCCCTCCTTTCCACAATCTTACCAAAGCCCCCATATGTGTAGTAATAAAAACATTGAAGTGAAGTGTGCTATCTCAGCAAGAGGTGATAATCATGCACACTTTTAAGTGAGTCATCATAGCAGATGTTTGGTGAGGTATTGCATTCTGTGCTCAAAATCTAGTTCATGTAGACCTGGGAAAAAAGAATGGGGTGTAGCAGCCATTCATGTTGTTTAATTGCTCTAAGCTCTAATTCGATACTACTGTTCATTTGGCTATCTTTCTTGCCAATACTGTTTCGTTATTTGAGTTTTCTTGAAGACACTTCCCATTGAGAAGAAGCATTATATGTGTTTACAAATTAGAAGTAAAGAAAAGTGAAAAAAAAAATAGGAGAGTGACAGGATGGTATCAAAGACAGTGGTACAATTTTTTTTTGCAGGGGGGTCATTTTTTTATTTTTGAATCAGAGTTTTAGCCTAAGTATGTCTAAGTTTCTACACTTGTTGTTTAGTCTTGTGACTTCTTGCTTTAAGAAGTGAGGTAAAATTGTTTGAATTTGTTTTTTTCATTACAGCCACTTGAGTCTGTAAATGGAAAGAAAACACTGAAAAATGACGGTAGGGAATACATTGCTTGCACTATAAAGTATTGAAAGTAATTTGCAACTCTCCATATTTGTTATTTGTAATTGACATGCTTTGCACAGGTGTTGTGGGGTTAGTGGAGAAGTTAACTGTATTTCAAAAATTAAATCACTTTAAATTGCAGTGAAAGCTATTACTTTTATAGTTATAAAAGTATCAAAGGTAACTTCTCTGAGAACCTTCTCCAGTGTCTGTGATATAGAAGTGTCCACTAAATATAGGTTCATTTATTAAGAAATGTGGGAAGAATAGTATGCAACTGAAAATACAAGTAAGGACTGGAAAAGAATATTTATTCCTTGCTAGTAATCTCAGAACAGCTGTGTGGAGCTGGAAATTAACAGTGCTGGAATACAACAGTAAATCCTGCTGATAAACTGAGAACAGCTGTGTGGGGCTGGAAATTAACAGTGCTGGAATACAATAGTTAACTCCTGCTGAGAAACTGAGAACAGCTGAGAGGGGCTGGAAAATAACAGTGCTGGAATACAACAGTTATCCACTACTGAAATTCAGAAACAGGAAACTTTTAAATACTTTTGTGCAACAATATACTGAGCATGCAGTAATATCTTCCATTGCCTCAATTCCAGTTACTTGTAGAAAGGTCATCTCTGAACCATTAAATAGGATCTGTTTTACCCGTTATGGAAGAAAAAATCTTAACCCTTTAACCCCTAAAAGTGACCAGCTTCTAATTTCTCCTTACAATATCTCCCCTGAATCAAACATTGAGTTCATGAGAATAAAGGAAATGACCAACAATTTATAAATCTCTTGATTTTTATAAAAACTCTCTTTGTCAGGGCTTCAGGAAATGTATAGAGAACAGTATGGAGAATATGCATAATGATGTTAGGGTGTAAAGGGTTAATCAATAAATGTATGTTAAAGGTAGCAATCTTCTATAACTATTACTTATTCACAAATACTATATTTTATTTAGCAGATTGTAGCTTCAATGGATGCCAGAAATATTTTTATGAAAAACTGGCAGATACAGTTTTGTATTGTACTCCAGGATATACATCTTTCCCAAAAGATGGTATTTCTTCAGAGAAGAATGAAAACTTAAATGCTTTCTTTAATCAGTATAAAAGACGATTTTTTGAACGACGTAGCCTGAAAAGACCAGTCTACACACTAAAACTTGACCAAGAAGGTAAGATTGTCCGTGACAAAAATGGCATCCTTGTTGTTTTGGTCAACAGTTATGTTCAAGGAGAGCTTAAGACTACAAAGCAACTTCTCTACAGAGAGGCTGTAGATGGTGTATTAAGCAGTTTACACTACATTAAAGGTGTCCTTGGAGAGGATACTTGCCTCCCTGGAGGGGTGAATGCCTTGAGTAGGCTATTCAATCAAAAATATGTATTTAAGGGTATTTTCAACCTTATTAGGGCCTTCTTGGCTCGATGCTCAACATGTCAGGTCAACAACCCCTTGCCAATGCGAGTGCTTCCCCCTCCTGTCCCCATTAGATCTTTTCGCCCCCATTCCAGACTACAGTGTGACCTTATTGACATGGCCCCAAAGAAGCACCGTAGTTTTATGCAGAATAATTGTTGGAGCTACCGTTACATTCTAACAGTCAAGTGCTGTTTCTCGAAGTTTTGTTGGCTGTTCCCGTTAAAAACAAAGTCTGCAGAAGAAGTGTATGCCGTTCTGAAGGCCTTGTTCATCAAGGAAGGGTCACCTACTGTAATTCAGTCAGATAATGGTGGTGAATTCATTGGAGAGGTAGTGCAAAAACTTTGCAAAGAATTTGAAGTTTGCATGGTTCATGGTAGGCCACACCACCCACAGTCTCAAGGCCAGATAGAAAATCTCAACAAGCAAGTCAAAAGGTTACTTGCAAGGTTTTTACAACAGTTGCCTAGAGATCTTCAGGCCAATGTCTGGCCTTTACTACTCTCTGCTATTGCAGACCTTTTGAATTGCAAGTGGCACAGCACAATTAATGATGTGCCTTTTCGAATATATAAGAACCGTGAGCCTTCCTGCTTGGTGGACTACATCATCCCAGATGATAGTATGTGGACAGAAAGTATTGAAGATGGTTGCCTTGAGGATTATGAATTTTCATCAGAAGATTTCATTGAACTTGAGAGACATGGGGAAAGCACTTCCATGGATAAATCTAAATTAGAAGAGATAACAGAGGCCATCCTGCAAATTTCTTCTGAGACCATATTATTGTCCTCATTGGGTGTTTCAGCTAAGCAGCTGTCAGCAGCTGTTAAGAAGATAGTGCAAGGAAATTCACATTCTCCACCTTCTCACAGTCACAACAACATCCCACTTCAATCAGTGGATTCAGAGGCAGAATTCCAGGTAGAGAGCATCACCAAATACCTCTTCAACTTGAGTGAAGAATACAAATCTAAGATGGTGGATGTGCTTGAAGCAACAGAACACACCATTCAAAAGAATCACAAACGGGCTCTTAAGAGGGCTAAAGAGCGGGAATTTAAGGTGGGAGACAAAGTTCTCTTCCAAAATCCACGTTCAGAAGGATTGCATTTTTCAAAGCCAGATCCCTTTCAGCCCTTGAATGTTCTGGGGGTCATCAAAGAGGTGCGTCCTGGAGGAATGTTCAAGGTGGAGATAGAATGTGGAGAGCAATTGGTAGTTAAATCCATTTTTGGTGGCCAGATGGTTTTGTTCAAGGAAAAGCAGTGTGAACTTCCCCTTTGTGAAACACCCCCCAAGTTATCTTTGCTGAATATGCACAATTTCATTTCAGAGTTTGGCCTAACTGTGCGTAAGGAGATGTATAATCGAAGTCTAAGGTTGAGGAAAGTGGCTCACCATAGAAGTATTGATGATTTATTGAAGAGTTATTGTCAGGTTCTGGATTATGGACTCCTTGCCATGGTATCGTCGTTTTCTGACAGAGAGGAAGAAGAAGCTGTGTTTCACCAGAAGTTTGTAACTGGCCTTCAAACTTTACAGGCTTTGGGTTTTCAGTACTTTCTCTATGGTACAATCTTTTGGGAGAGAGACAGAAAGCAAAACCTGGGAAAGTCAATTCTAAGTCATCTCACCAGTTACGAGGAGCACTCTGACTGCTTGTCGTGCGTTGGAGAGCAAAAAGAAACTCCATGCTTTCATCCCTGCTGCCAGAATCTTGTGCTTCAGATGGCTGTTAACTGTGGGCTCTTCTGTGTAACAATAGATGGTTGCATTGTACCATCTGATGATAGTATAATGAAAACATCTCAGACAGCTCCAAAGGAAACCCCTCTGTTAAGTAGCCATACAACTGAGGCTAGTACTTCATGCCATGATAAAGACAGTATCAAAAGACCTAGCACCCAAGTCGGTGTTGATGAGCCAGTGTTCAATAAGGATGATCTGCTTGACCATACAAATGATGTAAATGTTGATGTTGGATCCAACAGATGCAGTACACCCCAAGGAAGTCTGAAAACCCATGAAGTCACCCTTGGTGAGCCATCCACATCATTGCTGTTCATGCCAGGAAGCAATCAAGGAATGCTATGGAAGCCAGCTGAGTTGAAGGACAAGTGTCAGCAACATCTAGAGAACATTGATCCTTATTGCAGTGAACTGGCCAAGTTTGTAATGCCCTTGAAGGGCTTTCTTGCAGCCATAAATCCTTCTCAAGATAATGCCACAGAAAGAAGTAACTTGAGGTACTTTTTAAAGATTATTGACAAGCATGCAAATAAAGATGTACAGAGCCAAGTGCGCCTAAGTAGCAACAATGGCAGTCAGGAGTGTATGCAAGTTCAAGGGTACAGCTCATTCTGTGGACTTTGTGCAATGAACAATGCAATAGGTTGTTCCAGGAAAGGACCTACTATGTTCAATTTGTTTGACCTAGATTTGGCAGCAGACATCATTTGGTTAAAACAGGTTTGTGAAGTTGGCTGTGGATTTTCTGTACCTTTAGAGCCTATGCGGGGTCTTGATGGTGACTACAGTATTTTAGCAATGGAGGAGGCAGCAATTAGGAAGAACTGTACATTTCAAAGACTAGATTTACCCTTGAGGGCACTTGTGGATGGTGCTGCAATTAATTCCCTTGACACCAGCAGTCTCCAGGAATTTTATTCCCTTCTTCTGGGATTGTTCCAGGCAGATGAGAGACCATCACTCATTGTGAGGACAAAGGAATATCACTTTGTTACTCTGCTCTTTAAAGCAGATGCAATTGTACTTCTTGATAGTCGCAGGACATCTGCTCTTCCACTGTCCCTTAAAGATGGCCTAGGTTACATTCAGAGAGAAGCATATCAGAACCCAGATTTTGCTGCTGTAAACCTTCAAGGGCCTGGAACTTATGGCAATCCTGTGAGAGTGAATGACTTGCCAGAAGTTAAGCTGCACACAAATTTTCATTGCACACTGGATGAGGTGTGGGATTTAAGCAGTACTATAAGTGATGATACCATCATTGCCACACTCCATGGACAAGTCAAAGCAAAAGATGTTCGTACCCTCAAGCCAGGTAACCAAATAAATGATGTTGTGATCAACTACATTGGTCCATTCTTAATGAGTCAGAAAAAGGATGTGTATGTGGCAAGCACCTTTTGGCTAAATCACTGCAGCCAAGAGCTGGGTGTTAAGGAAATGCTTAGGTGTGATTTTCACAAGTATGAAAAGTTTGTATTTCCTGTTCATTGCCCTGGTCACTGGTGGTGTGTCTTAATAGACAGGCCAATGAAGTTGTATGGGGAATTTGACTCCCTTTGTAAAGATCGAAGGAGTGATTATGTTTTTCAGGTCTTGTGCAGGGAATTCAAAACTGCAAATATTGATATTTCTTCATTTCGAAGGTTAAGTCAGGAGGAAAGAGAAAAGTTGCCTTCTCAAGGACAGAATGTTTTTGACTGTGGTGTCTTTGTGTTGGGTTTTATCAGTGCATTTGTCAACAACTTGGAAATGAATTTCAGCTTAAGGGATATGCCATTCCTGCGGAATTCATTTGCGAAAATTATCATGAATGGGCAACCAGTATGTGACATTAAAAATTGTCCCAGTACCCAAGAAAGTTGTCATCCAGCTTGTGAAGAAGGTGGCCATGGAAGTGTCCTTGGGCTAGTTGGTTGCTCTACCATTGAAACTATGAGATGTAGGGGTCAAGAGAATATTTGCAGTGACAAAGAATCTGGAGTAAGTGGTACAGGACTTATACATTGTGCTGGTGAAAACAGCAGTGCAAGAATAGGTGAAGATGGAATTAAGAAATGCAGAACAGGAGTGAGTCCATTTAGTCCTGACAAAACCATGGAAGAGGTTTCTGTTGGTTTTGGTGTTGCTTTTCCTGGTAAGTATGAATTAGGGGATTTTGAGAAGGATTATGAAGATATGGAAGATGATCCATTTGTTGTCCCCCCTCCTCTTCTGCCATTAGACATTCAACTACGGGACAAAGACACAGAGTTGTCAAATGAAAACAATATTCAAGGTAATTAATATGTTGACCATTTTCACTCTTTGTCTCTTTGTTTTTGTAATATGAATTTTTTGCTATATTGTTCCATAATTATTCATCTCTATAAACCTTGTTTTTTTGTTATTTGCTAAAGAAAGCATTGTTGTGCCTTTTTACAGCCAGTGAACCAGATGATGAAGATTTGGTCTTGTATGAGCTCCTCAAGCCTCCTTATGATGCTTCTCACGAGGTATGCAGAATTTGTGAGTGATCTGTGGTTTTCTTCTGCTTGGGTTTTCTCTTACATTATTATTATTATTATTATTATTATTATTATTATTATTATTATTATTATTATTATTATTATTATCATCATCATCATCGTCATTATCATTATTATTTTTTTTACTGCTGTTGTTGTTGTTGTTGTTGTTGTATACTATGCAGAGATGTTCTTGTAACATGCCCAGTAGTTTAGGGGAATATCATTATTATTATTACTATTATTATAATCATTTTATATTATGCAGAGATGTTCTTGTTAACATGTCAAGTAGTTTAGGGGAATATCATTATTGTTCTTATTATTAAATTATTATTATTATTATTATTATTATTTTAGTACTATTACTTTTGTGTTTTGTTTCCCTTTGATGACTAGTTTTGGATGTTTTTTATTGCCTTGTGTCTGCAATGAATTTTAAGTTAAATTATTATAAATACATCTAATGATTAATAGTCCTTTAATTGCTAAATTTGTTTGTTGGGTTAACATAATGATGCGGTTGTTTTCATTGTCCCTTGAGTTAATTTATAGCATATCATCATTAACATACTGATACTTGGTAAGTGGTACTTACCCGATGAAATTAAGCCAAATGTGCATTTTAATACGAATTTGGTGAAGACAGTCTTTCACAAGCCAAGTGTCATTAGATTTTCTTTCCTAATGGAGACTGATTTTCTTCACAGCTTCCAACCCTACAGATGCTCTATTCTAAAGAAGAAAGGAAGGTATTCCAAGGCCTTAACCCCATCACTGAGCAATATCTTTTCAAACTAAGGAAGGAGAAAGGGATAAATGTTCCAAGAGGGTGTTACCATGCAGTGATGACAACAGAAGAAATGGTAGATTTTGATTACTGGAGGCAGGTAAGGAAGGGGAAGTCGAGACAAAGATTTTTCCATTACAGGTGGGATAGAGCCTTCGAAGTTTGGACCAAGGAGACCACAGAAGAGTTGATAGATGTGGCAAGTATCTTAGAGCGAGTTGATAGTGATGGATGGGTCTTATTGAACATCACAGAACAGTATCACTATGAAATGTGGAGAGACTGGAAATGGAGGCAACTTGAGGAGAAAGACCTTTTGTAATTTTAAATAAAATCAATAAGGCAAGCTATTTGGCACAGTGTAATACTAATAATTAACCCTTTAGCTCCCATGTGTGACCAAGACAGAATTTCTCTTTACACTATCAATACAATATCAAGCAGACAAGTGATGAGAATGAAGAAAATTATTGATAAGGGGATTATTAGTTGATCCAATACCAAATTCTCAAAACTAACATCACAAGAACTATATGGCAGACAGTAAGGAGAAATACTAATGAGATCTTGGGAGTTTAAGGGTTAAACACTTAATGGGTCATGTGTTCATTCTAACAGTTTCAATTGGGTTTTGAAGCATGCTTAATTCAAGTCATATCCAAAATTCCCTTGCTCCACATTGTGAATTGTACTTAGACATGGCCAGAGAACATCAACAGAGAATGTGACCTCTTAAGCATGTTCGCATCAGACCTATGAATTTGTCCACAAAACTTCCTTTGGAATTGTTGAGTTCCAGAGTTTCACATCTAGTGCATTTCCAGAGCAGTAGAATTTAAAAAAATTGACACAAACATTTAAATTGCAAAGAATTTATTTAAAACCTTTATGTTTACAGCAACCCACATAAAAAGAAATCTTACCAACAATTATGAATGAATTAGTGAATAAAATAGCCTTGACTCCTCAATCTGGTGTCAACTGCTTTATTTTATTCAAAAGTATATAAGGGTAAATTGGAGAGTTACTTAATGTGATCTGTGAAATAATATTGAATAATTAGAGCCAAACAGTTGCAAGTAAGTAGGAAGGTAGAATGGATTTATGGTATATTAGTGCACTATGGTCCACTTTAAATTTCACAAATTCCAAAAAAACTATTTCACCTGAAGTTATTTGCTTGAATTATTTGTAGTGAAGATGTTTATTTCCATAGAAGTGTTGCATGTTCAAGTACAACTGGAGCAGTTTTTTTTTTTAACTATCCATTTGTGTTCGTTAAATGAGCAATTTCAGCTTGAATTTTTAGTTAGATTAATTATGGATTGCACATGTTGTGTGCACAAGTGTTTATTTGTTGCAAACACTTACAGTGTATCCTATTTATCAAGAGAATTTTGTCAACAAAGGACATCATAGCAGGAAAAAGGTAACCAAAATTTGTATGAAACATTAAAAAAGGAACAACTAGCGTGATTTTACTTAACCCATGAAACAGTATGTAAACAAACCTGTATGACACCAGCGGCATGTTTGATTGTTGGATCACCCCCATGTTGTGTGTGGAAAACATGACATAAGCCAAAAATTTTTGTAACGCATAGTAGTCTATGATCAATTTCATTGGTTGGAGAAAATCACTCTATGTTCATCTACAATATCTTGTCGAGAAATAAATTATGACAGAGCTTTGCCTTAGCATGAGCATGAATGATATTACTCAATTGTCTTCTTTAGTGAGGCATGTAATTGATGAGGAGAAAGTAATACCTGTTTATATTGTCATCTGTTAAAAATTTGATTAAATCTGAATTACTTAGGGTTGGTTTTCTTTATTTCCTCATATAGGCATCTCGCTTTTTGGGCAGATGTCTCTCTGGAATGAAATTTATTTTTTTCCATTTTCATCTTAATCGGAAAGGCCAAAAAATACAACAACAAAAACCACATCAAGTCTAATATTAAGGCGACAAAGTCTCTGTGAACCAGTTTAATTGCAGTATTACTCAGAGTGCTTTTCAATTGAGTACTGTGAAACCAAAACCAAAGTAACTGCAATGGCCAGTCAGAAAAAGGGAAATATCACATGGAACCAATCAGGACTCAAAGTAAATACATGCAAATGGCCTGAAGTGCAGAAAAATGCGAGGAACAAAGTTATGATTGATTTTGGGTTTGCATCTGATTGGTTGAGAGGGTGGCACAAGATTTCTGGGCCAATCACAGAGCATACTTGGGCAAAACCATCACAATCTTGGATTACTTTTGACACTCAATTGAAAATTGCTCTATCCAAAGCGGTTCCTTGCTTTTCTTTTGAGGCATATATTATGTCTCTCAAAGGGGACAGTGGGTTTAATTCACATTTGAAATCCAAATTCAAAGAATTTTTAGCACACTTAAACAAACGTGGGTGACACTGCCATAGGTTCAATTTTTCTAGGTTCAAAAAATTTTTAAAGTAGTCTTTTGAGTTTCGTTCAAGATTGCAATTAAAAATAGAGAGAACCTTCAAATTCTCACACACTGGTAGAACTTCCAGTGCAGAATCAACATTTTCTTGATTGAGGGTATGTACATTTCCTCCAATTTCCAGAACCCTAAGAACATAGGAAAAAATGTATGAATAAATTATTAACTTGCATTGAGATTATTGTCAAGTGATTACAACCCCCTGAAAGTAAATAGAGAAGATCTACGTTTTCTCGTGTTTGTGTCGTTCGTTTCGCTAAGACAGAGAATCATTCAAGGATTCAGAGTTATACCATTCCATATGATTTTAGGGACGAAGGTGATAGCACGCTCACAACACGCTTCCAATCGAAAACAAAAGAAACTGGCTATAACGCTTGCTGAACATGCTAAAACACAATTTGCCCATGCTTTTATTTCTTATAACACTCTACAAAAAATAAAGCTAGCGCCGTTGAACAGTGAAGCGCGAGCAGGCAAACACGCAAAGCGTGTTAACCTTCGAATACAAAAGCTAGCGTAATAGCGGGCACAGCATAGTAGCGTGTAACCCGGTGTGCAGCACGCATGTTAACTGAACCTAACGCTTAGTCATTACACAGTCAATGTACTCTCATTCTTACGGTAAAAACCGAACCTCCCATCGGTGTTTATATCTTAAAAAACAAAGTTGAAACATTTGGCCGCGAACGAGTTGCAAGGATTCAAGGCAGACACTTCAATTACTTTTTTTTTTATGTGGAGTGGTTACTTTTGATGATATTTGTAGTATGTTGAAGCACAAAATGTAACTCAGTGCCAGACGAATTGCGCCGATCGCGTAAACAACCAAACATGTGCAAGATATTCATAAAGCGCCATAACATATAGCCGGTAAAGGCCGAAACATTTGTGTAAAAGTTTATTCCATCGGATGACCAGAGCGATTTTTAGGGGATGATAAACAAAATCAACAGTAAGGAACAATTTTTTTTTCAACAACTCTTTGTTTCTGGGAGCACTACGACTCTCAAACGATTGTTTTCTCTTAATCACGCGCTCAGTCACGTGCCTGAAACTCGATTCAATCAATGCAGTAAACAATTTGCGAAACGGGAACTTATATAAGATTACGTGATGGTGTATAACTTTTGAAGGCGTTAAAATTCATTTGTCGTACCATTATTTACCATTGTTTACCATTATGTAAGCTTGCCCATCACAATGAAGTGCTATTGAGTTCAAGAGGAAAACATTTGGATGAACGGCAGAAATATCTAGCTACGTTTTACTTTAGTGTGTCCTCCTGTGTTAACTTGCACGCTAAGCGTAACATCGATCACGCTTTTCAAACCGAAACAAAGACCAAGCGTGCTAACTTGACCAAAACGAAACAGTGTGTACTTATTGTTAAAAAATAATATATGCGCATATTAAACACGCTAAGCGTGTTGTGAGCGTGTTATCACCTTGTCCCTGAAATTATATGGCGGGTCACATTTGTCATTTGGAGGCAATTTAAAACTAGGAGTGCGGCTGTAGCCCTGTCGGCCACTTCCCCTCTGCGACGAAGATCTTGAATAAATCTCCTAAAAGAGACGTCTGCGATTTTTGAGATTTTCAAAAGAGACACGATGATTTTAAACCAGCCAAAACTTTTCTAAACAAAAAACAAACAAAAACAAAGCAGATACTACCCTTATAAATTAGCTTTGACAGAGCCTCAACAGAGCAAGGTTGCTGGCTCTTTCGCTGTGCGGGTACTTGTGGGGTTTTCACCATCCTGTGTATGTCATGCTTACGAGCTCAGATAGTCTAAAGAGAGCGTAAAGGCCATCTACGACTGTTACGTATTTTCTTACTTTTCGCGCGTATTTTTAGCCTTGACGCTTTGTTTGTCATCTAAAATTTCAACCCCTATCCAATCGGGATGATAGAAGCAAATAAGTTCAATTGTATACCTCAGATTCTCCAGACTTTGCCGGTTTGATGCCAAGACATTTAAAATGGCAGCCATGTGGCAAGTACCTTGCAGTGATAACTCTTCGACGTTGGGTTGTCGAGCGAGGAGCTTTGCCACTTGTACAGATGTAACATTGTTACAGTCACTGATATCCAAATATTTCAAATCGTGACATGAAAGTGATTCCAACACCTAAAAAAAAGACAGACAACGCAATCAAAAGGCAGGGCCAAGATAGTTTATAAATTCGAGATTCGAATTATCTCAAGATGGTGTCACCTTGTGACCAGACGTTAATAAGGGGAGGAGGGAGGGGAAGATGTGATGTTCTATGCTATATTTCATGGCGAATAAGGTGGCCTGATCGAGAGACAAAAGAAACAAAAATAAACAAGATATAATAGAAGTAATCAAAGATTATGAGAGAGCGTTAGATGCCCCAAATTCAAATTACTTTTCATTTCATTCATATTCATGCCTGAAATTGACAAATTTTAACGTCTGCTTTACTGCATTTGTGGCGTTCGTTGTTGATTATGTTATAAATAAGGATATTTAAGTCTAGCGTGAATTAATTTCCCGTGGAATTTCCTTGTTTTATTGCTAGCAAGTAGAGCGATTTTTATATGCTGCAACTGTTTCGACTGTGGTCTCGGGTCTGTTGCGTGACAGCTTCAATGTCCGTAAAATTTATATAACTTATATAATAACAGATAAGCTAACATATGGTTTGATGCTACTCTGGTTTACAGATTTAATGAGTGTAACCGAAGAAGTTACAATTCATAGACCTAACGTTTCGACACTCCTGTCTAGTTTGAATAGCCACAACGTTAAAGTTGCTCAAAAACCTTTTCAGACTTTGGGGCATATTTTCGCCAAACCCAAGGATCCTGACGATGGCGGTTTGCTTCCTGACGGCTATTTACACTTCATCAGAAAAAAAGGCCGCTAATTAGTGATCATATAAAACGACCTCTTGTTGCATCGTTTAGATCACCTTTGATGAAGGCACTAGACAGGAGTGTCGAAACGTTGGGTTTATGGATTCTAACGTCTTCGGTTACATTCATTAAATCTGTAAACCAGAGTAGCATCAAACCAAGTCTGTTTGTCCACTTGAACTTTAATATATTTTAACAGATAAGCTATTTACATTAAACTTCCATGATGCAAAACATTTTTCTTTTTACCGATAATATTCACAGTGTGGCAAAAACTTTTTTCGGTAGAATTATATATTTTTCTATGGGCAGTGTTCCAAGCTTGTTATATCTTAGTAACAAGATATATTAGAAGTAATCAAAGATTATTGGAAAGCGTTCAGACCACAGGCAACCGCAAACGAACGCAATAATAGGCTAAGCTCCAAAACTCCCGTTTGGTACTAACCTCATCGTTAACAGCTTGATTAAGGGCAGAAAGTCCCACCATTTCCAGACTGCATCTCTGGTGCAAAAATTCCTGGAGTAGTTTGGAGGATGTCAGTCGCTCGCAATAACCAAGGTTAATACCGATCAGTCCCATCGGAATGAATTCGCAGAGTTCTTCTCCACTTATATTCGTACAATAAATGTCCAGGCTTATCAGTCGGACCATATCCTTCAACGGTGCAAAGTTACTTACTTTGACACAGAATCTAAGGCTGAGAAATTTCACGTGGGTGATGTTAGACCATATGCCTTTGTTAGGAATGTAGGTCATCCTCCTCTCGAAACATCGGAAGTCAAGAAGCGTAAATGGCCTTTTAGTAGAAACCAAAATTTTGTAAAATGTTCTGCATGTTAAAGACACATTTACAAGATCCGAAGTTGAAAGAATGTTGAATAAAGCGAGAAGGCAAACGTGGGGCAAGCGGTCAATTGTCGACATCTTTACCTACAATGTTGAAACTTTGCCGATTAAACCTGTATTAGCGGTCGGAATGACTGTATGGCCGATTATTTAAGGTTGACTGCTTAGGTCAAGACAAAAGAAAAAAGCCCTTATGACCCCTTCAAGGTTGACCGCGGTGACCACTTGATAAAGGTAACACAAAGAATAATTAGAGGAAATCAAAACTTAATTCGACAGTTGACCGTTTTATAAAGGGTGACTGCCGCTTAAAAGGCATAGGTCGCACTTGGGCAAAGGTTCTATCTTGGGGAATTTTCAGTTTCGCTTTCAAGTAAGAGTTATCATAATTCAAATTCTGCGACCCACTTTTCCTTGAGTGACATAGCGTTAGGATTTATATCTTTTGAACGAAAAACAAATTAGCTAAATGCCGACACTTTTGCTGAAAAGGGTTTCCTGTAACCCAAGGCGAAATTCCAGGATTGTGCGATACACTCCTGTACGCAAAGTATCCGATCAAAGCTGGCAAAATTCAAGACAACCTAATCAGAGAAACTCTGGTTTCAGTGACTGTTGAGGTATCAAAACCACTTCAAATATTTTTCGTCGTCAGGGGGTTTAAAATATACGTCTTCGGAATTCTGATTTCCTTTTAGCACATTAAGCTTACTTTAAACCGAAATTTTTGAGCTGATTAGTTTTTTCTTGCATGGGAAAATAACCGAGATTGCATCGGTCTTCTGTTACTCTTTCGATGATTGTGAATACCGGGACCCTTTGTCACTTCACTTCCTTTTTTTTACTCAACAAAGTTTCCAACCTCTTTTCATTGCCACACCAAAGCCCTACAGCATCTCTGATGTTTTTGCCGATTTTCCAATAAACTAGGCAAATTCCTGGATAAATTCCGAAATAGAAAAGTTAGGGTGCAATTTGGAAAAGTGTCTCCTGGACAGATTTTGACCGCAAAACTTTGCCAAGTGCGATCAATTCGCAGATGTGAGAAAAGTCTTTGTGCCGTTTGCCGACAAATAGTACTTCTTTGTTCTGCTAACTGAAAAACTCACTCGCGATCACGTATGGTCCATAATCTAAAACCAACTTCGCCGAACAACTGCTGTTCTGCTCGCCTGTTTTTTTTCAGGTAAGAAACATTTTCTATTTAACTTCTATGATCACGCAACGGTGATCGTACCCCATTATACGAAACCTAAAGGTTTTGTAGCTGGAAATCTCTCCCATGGAGAACTTTGTAACAGCCTGGAATACGATACATCGTATTACTACTTTTTTATGACAAAACGACTATTGCGAAAACAATTTAGTTCTAGAGGTTATTACTTTTATTCTTAAAATAAGAAAAATAATATTGTAGCTGACTAGTTAAATCGCGAACTTTTCAAAACTCATCCTTTGTTGAATACGGTAAAGAGTTTGATCGACGAAAGCACGGCAATCTAAGTTTCAGTTTATTACATTGTCCGCTGTTGTCATTAGCCGTTTGAATTTCCACGAGTATAAGCGTTGTTCGGGTATCCTCGCTGATGATATTTCAGATGATTTGCAGGATCCTTGAAAGAAATGAATCAGTGGTAAACAGTCATTCATTTAATGGGCTACAATCTCTGACAAAAGTCTTTGAAACACTTCGAATCCTTCCGGCTTCCTGCCCATTGCAATGTTGCCTAACACAATCTAAGTGAGACTCCATGTTAGTTTACCGCACTAACACCGCAAGGTACGAGGGGGAGGTTAGTCCTATCTTGAGAACTGTGTTCCAACACTTTTTCACAGATTGTGGATTCTCTTTCTCCGGATGCTTAAGGGCCTATTTACACTGTACGTCAGAGTTTCTCGCATGCGACAAGCTTACGACAGGCCAACTACAGACTTGTGTCGTGTGAATCAAACCAAAAACTCGCGATCGCTTACGACTTTCACATGCGACACAAAAAATGTCGTAGGCTTTGAAAACATTTTCTAAAACGCTGCGACAATCGTAACCGAATTCGACAGAAATTACTTAATATATTGTCACAGATTTCTAGGGGAAGGGGAGGAAGGCGAAGTTTTCTTGCGTCAAAATGTCGACAATACACAATCGAGCACAACTTTTTAAAATAGCCGTCATGAGGACCATTTTATGACGAATGCCAGACAAAATGGCATTTGAAATTGTACGCGATTTTTGCAGGGAGTAAATAAAATGTCGTGCGCGTGTAATTGGTCCTAGCCTGTCTTAAGGTTACTTCTCACCTTCAGAGACTGAAAAGATCGATTTTTCTTTTACTAGACTAAACTGAATTCAAACTTTCAACCTAACGTTTCCTTTAACAAAAATTCCGAAATCTTTAAAAGCACCCGAGTTATTAAGAAAAACGCATTTTCAAAAAAAAAGTTGATAAATCAGGAAGGTGTCATAATCTTGGACCCTGGGGAAATTTTCGCGGCAACCGCTCATGTTGAGGTTCGATTTTAATGTTATTTCCATATTTTGTTTACAGCGCGCATTTGACAAAATTCACACATGGAAAGCTCTTTGTTTATGGAAATATATTTGATTTCGTGAAAGCGACTGGTAATGGCGGAGCTCCACGTTGGCGTCCAGATTTCGATCTAAGAAGTCGCCGTCAAACTAAAATTGGTAAAATTTCCGCACAGCCCCATACTATTGTAAAGCAAATCTGTTTTCCCAATGGCAATCTATTGTTTTTGTTATTGTCTTCTCTATCCAAAAACTGAATGCATAATGTGCGGAAATTTTACCCCAAAATTTGCCATAAATGATGTTAAAACGAGGTTTCCTTTTCGTTACGCAAGTACCAGCCTTGTTACAAAGACATTAACAATTGCCTCGAATCGCAATTTTGAAAGCTGTATGTCGATTCGTTGTCTTGCTCCTCAGCACATTTTGCGGTTTTTCCATTTTTGCCGCGGGTTTTTTCTTTGCCCTTCGCAACTTTGCACATTAATGTGTCGTCCTCCTCAACGCTCCACTCAGCGATCGAGATAAGCAAAAAAGAAACGTGCCTGCAATGAGTTACTTTTCTTGGTTAATCTTGATCATCGTCATTGACGCCAGGAGGTTCCGTTGTCCTATTGGTTTGCGGTTTCAGGAGGCAAGCGGATAATCACCTGGCGTGACGCGGTTGTTCGCGAACCTTTATGAACTAAAATCTCGCATTTGATTTTGGGAGGAGTACAACCACTTTGAGCGAATTTATGGGGTATACAGATTTGACCGATTTTCGTCAAATTTCGCCAAAACATCCTAGGAATAATGTCAAACAAAAGTGTCTTGGGAAGTTTTGATATTTGAAATATTTATCCCGTGGCTTCCATTTACGCAACACGACTTGCACATTTTTAGTTATTCCAACTTTAGATGCCAATATCTAGACAACCAATTAGAATATCAAAAAAGCCTATTACACTTTTGTTGACTGACGCCTTGTGAATAGGACTGTGCAGCCAATTAGTTCGTGCTGCAGCATCCCATACGCGATAAATTTAAAAATAGAAGACCCTTCGGTCGTTTCACGCCTTACCGGATCCTGACACTTCCTTAAAAGAAAAGTTGCTTGAAGTCTATTTTTATTGCAAACTGCATTTATGAAGCTTTCTTCTGATATATCGTTTGCTAGGATTGTAGTGAAACTGGTGCGCGAACGAATTTTTTCCCGAAGGACACCCGCGAAGGGAAGTAACCTTAAGCTTGTCGCATGCGATTAAGTCGTACCGTATATATCGGCCCTAAACACAAAAATTATACATGACTTTTATATATCGAAGTGAATACTCTGATACATCCTCTTATGTTTTTCTTTATATGCCTGGGAGCCGAGCAAACTGATAACTACCCATATTCTCTCGTTCTCTTTAAAATAGAATTGTTGATCAATTTTTGCTGAGTTGGCTACCATGGCCCGAGATGGAGGATCACGTGGTGAGATAAACTAATTTTCTTCTCTGCTGTCCTGAGAAGGTTTCCTATACTTTCAGAATAGAACAGAATTCTGGCTACCCTAACAACTCAACAGGAAATCGTCACTTTTAAATTAAATGTTCTAAGGGAGTCCTTGAAATTGCTTGGAGGTTTATCGCCTATCATGAATTAAAAGCAGTGAACAAGGCTGTAATGAATTACACACAACTCCAGATGAGGGTTTCTGGTGTAGTGAAGTACTGGTGCATTTCATCCCTGAGAAGCAATCAAACTACTGTTTTGTCACTTTTAACATTACTTAAAAATTAATAATCGATGACTTAGATGTCATGCATATCAAAGAATATTGGCACGGAAAGAGGTACTCTCTTTAATGGTTCATGTGCATATTCCAGGATGAGCTTTATTGTATCTCTAGTGTGAACATTGGTGGTGATATTTTTGACAAAGGCCATCATTGAACGGTCATGTTTACGGGTTTTGAAGGAAAGATTAAACCACAGAGGCCCAGGGCTAAACAGTTTCGTAAAATGTTGTTGTATATTGATATTACTGAGTGATACATTTCTTATGTTTGAAGAGCATGTCATTAACATGGACTGGCTTGAAAGGGAAATAGTTATGGAAGAGGAACTGGAAAGAGGAAGAGAAGAAAAAAGAAAAGGTGATGAGCAAACGAAAAGAGAGGAACAAATAAAGAGAGAAGAACAAAGAAAGAGAGAAGAACAAAGAAAGAGAGAAGAACGAAGAAAAAGAGAAAGGGAATGGAAAGCGCAACAGGAGAGGGTAAAAAGGTTAGGAAGAAAAAGAGAGAGACGTCAAGAGATGAGAGGCGCGGAGTTAGAGAGAGGAAGAGTGGGCGTAACGGCAAAAGAAAGGACCCGGGATGAAATTAACAGAGGAAGAGATAAGAGAAGAGGTAAGTGTAAAACCAAGCATTAAGCAAGTGTTGACTGACTGTAAAAGGTCCCATTTCAGTGGCATGTCTAACAAGTCGCTTGGGGCTTCTTTCCAAGTGACCCTTAAATGATAAGATTACACACAGCACACGATTGTAGTGAATGTGTAGATGAAGTGTTGTGTTTAATCATATCTATCTCGCTCAAATATCTAGAGGAAACACTTTGGTTGAAGGAGACAAATCTTACAGTTTTAATTTGATAGCTATGGCAACATCAAAATCTTGTGAAAGATAGGAGGAGAAAGCATTGTAGGAACGGTCAAAATTCTGGTACAGGTATTTCATGAAGACGAATAATAAATGTATACACGACTGTTGGTGTGTCTGGTGCCAAAAGATTCCCTTTTGTCTAACCCTGACCCAAAAGGTTTTATCGTTTGAGTCTAAGGTGAGGCCAGATGATGCTCACCTGAGGCAGGACTTTTAATTGGGACTCTGTGTTTTTTCCGGCTCTACTCAGAGAGGTTAAAGTTACAGGACATTTTTCTGGAAAACTTCCCTTCCCTCTTATTTGGACTGCAACAACATTGTGCTTGTCTGTAATTTTCTCATTTATATTTTTATTCCAGTTCGGTGTCACAAGTGTCGAGGGTTTGGCCACGTACGTGCCGAATGCCCAACGAGACGCGGCCCGGTTGTGCCCCACCAAGATCAAGATCAAGGAAAAGAAGTGATAGTTAATAATTATCATTTTCACGCCTCTCTTGACAATGTAAGATTTCACTAATAAGTTTAGTCAGTTATCTTACATTGCCAAGAGGTTTATTTTATACTTTAATACTAATATTCAATTAATTAAAAACGTACACGTGATTTATCAGTATTATAAATTTAATGTATATTGTTTCTTTTTTTATTTTTACGTGATCGAAAGACATTAAATATTTGGAAGAGAAACTTAAAACTTGTCCTTTGCTTACATAGATTTTTCTTTTGTTACGCCCTACTAAGTGACTCTTGATGTCATGTCAAGTTCTCCATTGGTTCCACAAGTAAACAGACACCATGCACTAAACCCTTTAATTATTCTGTTACGGTGAATAGTACCCGTGGGCCTCTTCGTAGATGTTCACTTTGCTTATAACGCAAAGATAAATCAATAGTTTGCCGTCAATGTATGCACATGCATCTGTGTATACAGAGACTTCTGGGGAAATTTCTCATTGCCTGAAAAGATTTTTAACGCTAAACTGACTTAAATTCCAAGGGTGTGAGGAATATGCAGACCCTTTTCAACAATCAGAACATCACAGTGGTAAAACATAACACCAAAACTTGCAGACTGATAAACTGATATATTATAGGGAAGGCTACATTCTCTTTTCCAGCAAAATAATCTCCTCAGACTCAGTGATATTTGTCGAATAATCCCCAGGCTTTGTGCAGGGGATTCTACAGTGTACCGGCTAAAATTATTGACCTCACCCGAGGGTAAGCTTTCATTGAATGTGGAAATTCTCAAAAAATGAAACAAATTCTGACAATTTATCCAGCGAGTAGAATATATCTTAACATACCAAATCCAATCTTCACCCCAATTTTCCATTTTCTCAATCAACTCTAGAAACACGTGGTTAATTGTGACTATTCATCCTACAAGTAGATAATATCACAACTTTTCTATATCCAATCTTTACCCCGATTTGTTCAATTAACTTTAGAAAAACGGGGTAAATCGCGACAATTCGAGTGGTTAATATCATAACTTGCAATATTCAATCTTTACCCCTGATTTTCCATTTGTTCAATGAATTCTAGAAAAACGGGATAAGTTCTGACAATTCATCACGCAAGTGGAATATAACCTTAGTTGTCATGTCAAATCTTTACCCCAATTTTCTTTGTTTTAATGAATTAGTTCTAGAAAAACAGGGTAAACTCTGAGAGTTCATAATACCCTTAGCTCCCATATGCCATCCTTCACTCCGAGTTTCCAATTTTGCCATATCAAATCTTTACCCTTATTTTCCATTTTTTTTTTCGTTTATTCATAGCTATGGTTTATTAGAGACAAATAAGGTTAAATCTTACAATTAATCCCACATGTAGGATACATCATAGCTTTTCATAGTCAATCTTCACCCCGATTTTCCGTTTCTTGAGTAAATTCTGGAAAAATGGGGTAAAATCTGAGTATTCATCCTTTAAGTGGAATACATCCTAACATGTCACATTCAATCTTTGTCCCGGTTTTTTGCTTTTTTTCCAAGAATTCTGTACACAATGGGGTAAAAAAAGGACAATTCATCCTACAAGTGAAACATATCCCAACTTGTTATGTGTAATCTTTACCCGATTTTCCGTTATTTTCAGAGAATTCTAAAAAAACAATTCATCTCATAAAAGAATGTATTCTAACGTGCCGAATTAATTTTTCAATGAATTCTGAAAACGGGCTAAATTGTGTCCATTCTTCTTTAAACTGAAATAAATTATAACTCGGGACATCCCTAATTTTCCATTTTTTTTTCTAATTAATTCCAGAAAAAGGGGGTTAATTCTGAGAATTCGTCCCGTAAGTGGAATACATTTTAAGTTTCCATATCCAATCTTCAACCCGGTCTTCTATTTTTATTTCAATGAATTCCAGAAAAACGGGGTAAGTTATAAGAATTTATAGCGTAAGTGGAGTATATCCTAAGTTGTCATATCTTATCTTGACCCCGATTTTCCTTTTTTAATGAATTAATTCAAGAAAAAGAGGGTAAACTCTGAGAATCCATGCTACAACTTCCCAAATGCCATCTTTGCTCCGATTTTCCATTTTTTTTAGTGAATTCTAGAGAACAAGGGTAAATTCTTAGAGTTCATCCCGCAAGTGGAATGCAACCTGTACGTTGTCTTGTCAAATCTTCCCTGATTTTCCTTTTTTTTAATGAATTAATTATACAAAAACGGGGTAAACTCTGAATTTATGCTAATAGCGGATAATTCCCGTAGTTCCCTTATGCCATCTTTACTCTGGTTTTGCAATTTTTTTTTCAAGGAATTATAGAAAAACGGGGTGAATTCTAGTAACTCATCCTCCAAGTGGAATATATTCTATTGACCTGCCACATCTAATCTACTTTACCCCGATTTTCCATTTTTTTTTGGATGAATTATAGAAAAACGGGGCACATTATGAAAATGCTTCCACCAATTGGAATTTATCATGTTTATCCTACTGACTTGGCATATCCTATCTTTACCCGATTTTCCATTTTTTTTTTCAGTAAATTCTAGAAAAACGGGGTACATTCTGAGAATTCACGCTACAACTGAATAATACCCAAAGTTCCCATATGCCATCTTTACCCCTATTTTCCATGACTTTTTTCAGCGGTGAAATTCTACGATTAGCGCTAATCGTTAGCCCCCCCAAAATAAAGCGATACGCAATAACTTAATTGTAATTAGGAGTTTTTTTATAACACCCGCTTTCAGTTATTATTAACGTCCATAGAAATTCAAAACTTAGGCACAACAACATGCTATAAAATATATTCTTCCTCTTTAATTGTAGTTATTCCCCAATGAAGTCTCAATTAGAGACGAAACGCGTCCGAAATAAACGAGAAGCTTACAACTACAAAAAGTGTTTCTTTGTGCGGCTCGCTAGTCTTAGTTAAAAATGAAAGATAGAAAAAATTACAAATTTTAAATGAAGTTTATGTTCTTAGTGAATTCTAGAAAAGCGGGGTAAATTCTGAGAATTCTTCCTTCAAGTGGAATTGATCCTAGGGTGCCAAATCCAATCTTTAACCCGATTTTCCATTTTTTTTTCAATGAATTCCAGAAAAACGGTGTGAATTTTAAGAATTCGTCCCCCAAGTGGCTAATACCCTCAGTTCCCATATGCCATATTTACCCCGATTTTCCATTTGATAGGTGAATTTTAGAAAAACGAGGTAAATTCTGAGCATTCTTATTACAAGTGGATAATAGCCGAAGTACCCATACGCTATCTTTACCCCGATTTGTGATTCATTCCAGGACTTCTACTTTTTCTCGACTTTGAAAAGGCCTTCGACACGGTAGAATGGTCTTTTCTTCCAAAAACTTTACAGTGTTACAATTTTTGGCAATCTGCTATCAACTGGAAGCTCTTTTACCATAACACAGAAAGCTGCATTCTTAACAACGGTTGGTCTAGCAACTTCTTCAAACTTGAAAGGGGGGTAAGGCAAGGCTGCCCTCTCTCTCCGTATCTCTTTATTCTCTGTGTAGAAATACTAGCCGAAACAATACGGCAAAATAAAAACATTAAGGGCATAAAAATAAACGAACAAGAAGTAAAAATCAGTCAATACGCGGATGATACTACCCTTATTTTAGATCGATCGCCCGCCTCTCTAACAACCTCCTTACAAATATTAGACTTTTTCAGCGAGATTTCTGGTCTCCGATTAAATAGCAAGAAAACTGAAGCTTTGTGGATCCGTGCGAATATTCGAAACGAAACACATCTCAGACCCGACAAAGATTTTAAATAGGTAAAAGATAAGGTTAAGGCTCTAGGCGTATGGCTCTCCACCAACCCCAAAACCACTATAGAAGCTAATTACAACGAAAAACTAACCAAAATCAGAAACAGCTTAAGCTGCTGGGAACTGCGCCGTTTAACCTTATTAGGAAAAATTACAGTTTTAGAAAGCCTTATTGCCTCTCAACTGGTTTACATCCTGTCCTCTCTGCCGTCCAACCACAGCGCTCTAACAGAAATAAATAATATGTTCTTCAATTTTGTATGGGATGGCAAGGGAGACAAGGTAAAGCACAACATAATGATCAACGACTACGAGAACGGAGGGTTAAGGATGATTGATATCAAAATTTTCAACAAAGCTCTTAAATCAAGTTGGATAAAAAATATCTAGATCCGGAAAATCAAGGAAAATGGAAACTTTTGTTTGACTATGAATTACAAAATCTAGGTGGTGTCGAATTTTTTCGTACCAACCTTAATAAACAAGATCTGTTAAAAACTATAAAAACTGCAAAGGCCTTTACTTCAGAAATACTCCACATCTGGTCAGAAATCTCACTTGAAACTAATTTCTCCTCCATTGATCAGCTAAAGGCGCAAAGTCTATGGCATAACTCTCTTATACGTGTCGGTAACAAACCTGTATACTATCGTTCATGGTCTGTAAAGGGAGTTAAAACAGTGGGCCATTTGATGAATGATGCGAATAGTTTCCTATCTTTCTCTGATTTTAAAGAGCTTTACGACACTAAAACAAACTTCCTTACTTTTCAAGGCATCTCATCAGCTGTTAAGGCCTTACAAAAAAGCAATGAAGCTAACTTCAACAGCTGTAATACTGCATACGAAACTACCTTCGACACCTTCCTAAAGACGACAAAACCAAAAAGACTAACATATAAAATTCTGACGAGCAACAGAATGCACGCTCGAAACACCAGATAATGTCGACTGGATGGCAGTTTACAGAACTCCTTTTCTGTGCACAAAAATCACAAAATTGATTGTTTTTCAATTTAAGCTACTGCACAGAAGACTAGCCACCAACACTTTTCTTACCAAGGTAAACCTTAGGGACAATGAGCAGTGCACTTTTTGTAAAAGTGAGAAAGAGACTCTCATCCACCTATTTTGGACTTGTGATATATCCAACCGTTTCTGGCAAGGTCTTAAACAATGGATAATTAACCTTGGAGAACCTTTCGCAGAAATTTTCAATCTATCACCATTTATAGTACTAGGGCTTAAGCCACACAAAAACAAGAAACTAGACTTCCTTTTTGTGGTCACTAGATATTTTGTATGGATATGCAGAATGCGCAACATCTCTCCGGAAATAAAAACTTCCCCCTCTTCTTCTCACATTATAATGCATAAATCATTATTATAAGAAAAACCATGCTTAAAACAAGCACAACAC